CCAGCTAGTGGCCAGTCAATATCCCCCTCAAGTCTTCCTCTACAGCCACACATGGAAGCACACTTCTCTCAGCATGTGCCCAGCTCTCCCTCCCCACCCCCTGCCCTCCTCTGAGCACCCCTGACCTGTGCTCTTTTGAAGCAAATGGGCTTGGGCATGGTGGACACAGTCAGCTTCACATCCTCATCCACAATGTCCAAGGCGAGGGACTTCCTGACTTTCTTGATGGGACTCCTGCGCAGCTGGGAAACACGAGAGAAGCAAAGCAGGCAACCGTCAGTGCTGGCCTGAAGGGGAGACAAAGCCATAGCAATGGGGAAACTGGGGCTCAGGGTGCACTTTCTAGTCTCGCAGAGAGGGAAGGGTCAATTATACAGAACTTCTGGGCATGAGGAGCTGGGGACCACGCAGGCTCGATGGCATTAAAACATTCCCTGTGAATTTCATTGTGGTGGAGGAGACCAGAGACCTGCAACTCCTAGAGGCTGACTCCCTGCCCCAGCTCCAGCTCACTACAGAGCCCCAGGCCCACTCCAGGGAGCACAATCCCAATCCCTTTGTCCCATCCACTGCTTGGCACCTCTGCCAGAGGGTGGGGTAGCTCACAGGGGTGCCTGGCCCCAAGACCCCCCAGAGCGTTTCATGAAGGCAAGCCCTTTCCAGCAGCACCTTCAGAGCTGCATGGGGCAGCAAGCCAAAGGCAAAAGGCCCCACAGTACGCCCATGAACCATCCACTCCTCCTGGGTTCAGATGTTTTGAATGAACAAATCTTTCAAGCAGTCAAACCAGCTGTCCCAGAGGCAGAGTACAGACCCAGACATGCTGGGCTCGTGGCTGGCTGTGGGCAAGCAGGGGTGCCTGTGCCGGCACACAATCCAGAAGCACTGTAAGCAAGCGAGTAGCCCGCTGGCTGTTCAAGTGCTAATGGCTAAGCATGTGCTCAAGTGCTCTGCAGAATCGGGCTCTTAGCAACAAGGTGCCCCCGAAACCACCAGCTTCTGTGCTGTACCTGGGATTTCCTCCAACTCCCCTACCCACCACTGCCCTGCCCGAGGAAACAGCTGTCAGACGAGACACTCACTCCTTGTTTCCGCTTCTGCTTCTCAGGCTTCACGTCATCCTCTATGATCAACTCGATGCCGGCTTCGCTGCGCAGCACTTCCTTCAAGTCTTCTTCCAGGTGAGGCGTCTGTGGCTGCGGTGAATGACACAGCACAGGATTTACAGGGCAGGCTACCTTTACACGTGCTAAGGCTGCCAATTATGTCATCAATGACATGTCCCACTGCAACTCAGACTGCCAGCCATTGTTTATTTCTGTGTGAATGACACGAGAGCTCTGCGAGCCCGGCCTCCACATGGAACCGGGCTGCAGTGGTGGGGCAGGACCGCCCAGCAGAAGTTTCAGGAGATTAAGTACTTCATGTACATGTTTGGCAGCAAGGAGTTCGCTACCTGCAGCCTGACTTTCTCACTGGTTAGTCTGGAACAGGTACCAGATCGACACTTGATGGGGAGCCCCAAACCCCAGGAAAGAAAAAAGCATGTGGTCAGCTTCTTTTTAGGTTCACAAAGAAACCAAAAGCTGCAGCATGAACCCAGGGACTTATAAAGTATCTCGGTCCAAGGGTCATTTATCCCCGTTTATTCACTATGCCATTTTAGAACAATGTTCCTCACTGTCACCCTATCTCAGCCAAGAACGTGCCAACACCCATGCACCCTGGCCACGTTAGCAATGTAAACAGAAATGCACAAGTGGCTGAGGGCCCTCTTGCAGCACATACCTCAGGACTGTCACTGGCAGACTGTGCCCGAATATTCACGGGCAAGTATGAATTTTTGGTGAATGTTTAGATGGAAGCCAGGCGGGGGGTGGGGGAGTCTTTCCTGGCTCTAACAATCAAGGATGTACCGGAGCACAGCTAGCAATAACGACAGTGCTAGGAGGGGTTTGCATGTCAGTTCAATACACACCAGTGGCCTCATGGCGCCGTACTTTTCCAGGGCATTCTTAAAAGGCGTGGGTGTGTGGGGCGTGTTGTCCGCTATGTATTTCTGATCTGGGGTGACAAACCTGCCAGCAGAGAGAGAGGAGTTCAGAAGCACGGCACGTGGATGTCACCCAAGCACTCTCCCCCACCAGAGATGGAAGCATGCTCTGGTTCTCCAGCCCAAGGACTGCTGCATTCCAGAAAGGCCCGAACACTGGAACTGGGCGGGGTCTTACATCACAATAGCCAGCATAACTGAACCTGCCTGGCTGGAGTGCTGCAGGCACGTGGGCAGGGGAGAAAAGTAGGTGCTCAAGAAAGGGGAATAGGAAATGCCCTCTGGCACCACCACCCAAGCCACCCCGACAGAGCCATACATTATCCAGTCACATCTCCATCAGATCATCTGCCAATCACTCTTCAGTAAACAAAGTGGGGGACACAGAGACCCCCACCCACAGCCCTTCCCTCCCCTCCCCACCGCTCTCACTCTGATCTTGGGCACACAACACATGCTGCTGCAAGAAATGCCCTGGCTCAAGCAAAGCTATACAAGGCAGGCAAGGTCGAAATTGACCAGCCTCTACAAATGTGTCTTGCTCACTTTAAAAGCTGTAGCCCAGCGGCTCTTAAACTGCAGGTTGCGAGCCCATTTTAATGGGATTGCCAGGACCAGCTTAGGCTTACTGGTGCTCTGGAGCTGAACCCAAAGCCTAAACCGCTTGCAGCCAAAGGCTTCAGCCCTGAGCGGTAGGACTCAGGTTACAGGCCCCCTACCTGGGGCTGAAGCCTTTGGGCTTTTGTCCCCTGCTGACGGCAGTGGGGCTTGGGCTTTGCCGCACCCAGAGCAGTGGGGTTGGGTGGGCACAGGCTGGGGCCATGTCGTAGTGTTTGATGTCAGAAAGGTGATATGGTGCAGTGAAGAACCTCTGCTCTAACCCCCTTCCTAGTCAAACACCTTCATTCCAGCAGGCTCGGCTCCCAATTCACCATTAAAATATAGCAGCCATCCGAAAAAACAGAATACACTTGTGGGCTTTGTAGCCCTCCTTTTGTCCCTGAGGGTGCCAAGCTACCAATCCTAGGACAGTCTAGCCTCTCTGCCATGTGATGCAAGCTGGGGTGGGGCTGGAAGAATGGGACGACTTACGCAGAGTTTTTCTGGTGCAGCGGGGTCTTGTCCCTGTGCAGGGGGGTGGTGACTATCACCTTCTGACTGCACACGGGCGTGGAGGTCAGCGAGGGGTTCTCCAACTCCAGCGTGTCCTGTTTGGTCCAGAAGTTTAAGAACTGCCAAGCAAAGGAAAAAAAAAAAAAAGAGAACAAGCTTCACATCCTGGGAAATTCAAGGCTATCACTGGCCACTAGCACACACTAGCTTTACTGAGTGTAATGAGGGCAACGCTCACACTGACAGATTACAGATTTTTGCTACCAATGTGGCAAACAATAGTCCCCTGCACAGCCCAGAAAGCAATCCTGACTTGGTCCTGATCCACACAGTCCTTCTGGTTCTAAAACTAGGTCATTTCAGGAGGTGACTTTTTTCCCTAGTATCATGCAATTATAACCAGTATATAAGGGTACATCTACACTTGCCCCCTACTTCGAAGTAGGGAGGCAAATGAAGCATACTGAAGTTTCAAATCAAGCGCGGGATTTAAATATTCACGGCCGGTCGCCATTTTAAAATGCCGGTCTCCTGATTTAACTTGCCGCGTGTAGACGTGGCAGTCCGATTTAAAACCCTTCCCTCGAATTAGCTGGTACTCCTCATTGCACCCCAGGAAAGGCTGTGTTGGCTAACTTGAGCTGGCACAGGTAAGTCCTACTGCAGAGGAGTCAATCTATAGTTTTCACATGAGTTAGCAGGTCAAGTAAAGCCTGTGCTCACCCATAGTCTAACTCTTGTTAAAACCACACACTGCATCCTCTTCAGGAAGCTTCTGCCCCATGCCCACCCTTCGCATTAGAATGTGCCTTTTCTCCTAGGGAAGACGAGGCCAGCAAAGAAAATGCCTTCCAAGGAGCTCTGAACCTCTGAGCGGGGCTCAGAAAAGGGCTGCACAGCTGCTTAGAGGGAACTTTGTTCCTCACAGATGTCTGTCTAACCTGTTCTTTGATTAGGGATGTTAAGAAGCATGTAATTCGTTAATCACGTAGTCAAAACAAATTGTGTCAGCTACATGATTAATTGATAAGGGAGGGTTAGCACTGCAAGCACTCAGTCCCAGCTAGGATGTAAGCAAGGAGTCGACTACCTGATAAACCCAGGCTTATCGGGTAGCTGAGCTGATTATTCGACTACTCACATTTCACCCCCCCATTTGCTGCCTCTGTATCGGGGAGTGGAGGGGCACGGGGGAGAGCAGGAGCCATTTGTCTGGAAATGGGTGGCAAGGGGAGGGATCACATGAGGATTACCTGTTGTTTTCCCTCTCTCTGGGGCATCTGCATTGGCCACTGTTGGCAGACAGGATACTGGGCTAGATGGACCAGTATGGCCGGTCTTATGTTCTTACCCCCAGCACTGGCTCCACACTGCCACCTGCTGCCCCCAGCCTGCACTGCTGCCAGAGGCAGAGGTGTGGGGAGGAAGCAGTCTCTGCCTGCAGCGGGCCCAGGCTGGCTGTGGACAGAGTGCTGGGGCACCTTCCCCAATCGACTACACAGACAGTCAAATACCCCTCGCTCCAACAGCTACCCCCACTGCGGCTTTGCATTATCAGGGGACCGGGAACTGGCACGCAGGAAGACTGGCTCAGCCCCCTAATAATGCAGAACTGCAGCGGGGGTAGTTGCCGGGACCCGGCTCAAGCTGGGATCAAGCCAGCCTGCCTGCGCGTCGGCTCTGAAAGCGGGTGGGTGGCTGGCCCATGGACTGGAAAAGAGCAGCTTCTTTGATGCGTCTGTGCTGCTGCCTTCGGGGCACCCTTAGCCCACCAGGGATGAAATACATCCCGTACACCACACTGGTAGCCTCCAAGCAGTGGGGGTACTCCAGTAATTCTCCTCCACAGTTTAACTGTGGGTGAAGAGCTAGAGAGTGTCTCCACCTCCCTCGCTGTGCTAGGGAGGGTGGGCCTGGGTTTAGCTGATCAGGTACCCTTGTTATTCACATGCCCATCTCTCAGGGTGTGTCTAATGACACCAAGTGGCCAGAGAACCCCAGTTCTGTGGCTCAGCAGGGGAGAGAGCCAGACACCTCCAGGGGATGGTCCGAGCCAGTGGAATGGACTCCCCTGAGAAGGAAGGACATTCTCCAACCTCACCATTTCACACTCCCAGGGCCTTGCTTTGACTTTGCCCTCCCTACCCAAGAGCAAGAGATATGTTTATATGAAAAAAGCCCCATGGCCTGCCAACCCAAGACACTCCTCTGCACATGCCTCTCCCTCTAGGGAGAGATGAGAGCACAAGCATGTGCCAGATGTCTAGTCTCACAGCTTACTGTGCTCCAGGAAGGTGTGGATACTAGGGCTATGAACGCAATAGCAGACCCTGCAGATACACAATCCTACAGCCATTCTACATACTGGCAGTGTCCATTTCAAGGCAAAGGATATGATGAATATTAAGCCGAGCTCATTGGGGTTGACTGTGTTATGGCCAATTAACGGAGTCCCAGCAGAGACTCTCCAATTCTCACTAATTCAGGCACAGAGCATCCCAGACAGACAGCCACAGAGCAAACTGCTCGATTCCCATCTAGCACTGTACCTGGGATGGGGAGAAAGGCAGTGTTTTGACAGGAGTACTCTTGGGCGTCATGCTGTTACAGGAGTCTATGAAAGAGTAGCTGGTGTTCTCTGTGACAGGTGAGAGGGAGATCTTCCTCCTCTTCTGCCTCTTGAACACAGAGGGTGGCGTGCCAGAGCTCAGCTCCGAGCAGGGGGAGATAGGGATCAGCTCGCCCTTGCTGCTTTTGCTCAGGTCTGAAATGGTGTGACCATCCAGGCGATACTCCGTCACGTGGGGCACAGGAGCTGGGGGCTTGCTGGGGGCTTGCCTGACGGGGCTGTTGCTGCCGCCGCCAGCGGCTGGATCCTCAGGCAAGTCGAAATGAGTCAGATCGCACCACCCATCTGGGTCCTGCTGGACAAGAGAAACAGTTTGAAATGGCCAAGAATGAGCAGCCACAGGGCGCAGCCTCATCAAAGACCAGTGCAAAGGGAGGGCCTCGCAAAAGGCTACAGCAACCCACAAAGGCTGAACAAATGATCTATAATGACGTGGGGCCTACGTCAGTCTTCAAGCCCCTCTGGAGTCCGTTACACCAGTGAAAATCAATAGTGCAGCATTGTACGTCCACTTTGCACCGCTCAAAGCACAACTCCCCTGTGAGTTCACAGCCAGCACTGCACAATTCTGTTGCCTGCAGGGACATTTCTTTGATGTTTCACACTACAAACTTCAATAGGGAGGCCTGATCCCTGACCAACACAGTGGTGCCAGCAAAAGCCCCTTGTCTAGTCACAATGACATTGGCAAAGCTGTGTTCTTGCCCAGACAGCTAGTTTCACTAAGGGGCTGGGGTGGAGTAAAGCTAACCCGCTCTCCACTGTGTTCACACTAGGAGCACTTTGATGGTGTATAGCACACTAGTAAAACACTCTTCCTGTAGGCAGACATTGGCCCTTTCCAGGGCAATGACATCCTGCAATGTGTTTTATGGTCTGCAAAGTCAGGAGACTCACAGATTCATTCACATCAATTCCCCATTACTGACGTCAGTTTGAGGCTGCATTTAGCATTCAGGCAAGTAAAAACTTAGCACCACTAGAGACTAGAAGTCTCTACACCAGGGGTGGGGAACCTCAGGCCTGAGGGCTGCATCTGGCCCCCGAGGCTTGGGGCTTTCCCCCCCAGCATTGGAGAGCCCGTACTGGCACGCCCCCACCCCAAAACAGGGTGAAGTACACAAAATCTACTAGCCTGGTCCCTTCTAGACTCTGGTGTGTGAGCGAAACATGGGGGGAGTGTCTGTCTCCTTCTTAGTCCAGGGCCACATCAATGAGGGGTATCTTTTTTTTCCTTTTGCTTCTCACTTTTCTGTGGCCCCCGACTGATTTCTGTGTGGGTCAGCAGCCCCCAACCAAAAAATGTTCCCCATCCTGAGCTACATCATCATAACCCCATAGCATAGACTAATGGTCCCCAAATTTTTATCTCTTGACCCACTTACCCTTGCCCACACTCCTTTGCCCCTAGGATTACGAGGGAGTAGTGCCATAGCTCCATAAAGTGGGGGGGCGAGGGGGCAGACAGAGGTATGGGGGTGGAGTCTGGGGCTTTAGCTGGGGATGGGGGCAGAGCTTTGACTGGGGTCAGCAGGCAGTTTTCCACTGATGCAGGAACACCTTCTCCCCAATGATCGTAGCCATGTCAACAGAAACATTCTTCTGTTGGCATAAATTCCCACGAAATGTAATGGGAACACGGCACCCAAACCACGCACGCAGTTTAGACAGTTTCACCCCAAGCTTCTCCCCCAAAGTTCTGACAACACTCTTCTATTGTATTATGCCTCGCTTCCCCCTGCTACTGCAGGCCTGCTCCCTACTGCTTTGACGAAGGGCAGTGCTGATTCAGACTTTTGTGCCTTGCCCCACATCTGTATGGACCCAAATGCAGCCACATTTCCTCTTGCCCAACATCCACCATGACCAGGAAGGTCAGTGACAGACGCCAACAGCCTTGAAAGCTGAATATGATCCATTTTCAACAAGATAGCCGAGCCCCACTGATATCTGTACTCTAACCTCTCCTTGACAGGCTCTGTGCAGCAGCTGTGAGGCAGATGGGGCAGGGCTAGCCAGTCACTTACACTGAAGGTTTACGCTTTTGCTGCATAACTGACTTCAGGCTGAAACAAATGGAGGAATAGATAGATACTTTTCAGCCCTGAGAAAGGGCTGCTGCATAAACTGCATCACTCTAGGAGCAATCCGGGAGGCAGTGAGGCTCTGAGATGCCTGTCTCAGTCATAATCCCTCCCTGCTCCTGGAAGGCAGAGCTGGCTTATGCCAGCAGAAAGTATCATCCCTCAGCACTGGCTCAGCCACTCTGAATAGCCGACTGCCTCCCATTCCCTACCCTGCCCTAGCCTGTCCCACCTGGGAGACGGCACGCCACTGCACTGATTCCCAGCAGCCTGGACCCCAATCACAGGGAGCCCCTGCAGGTGAGCAGGTGGAGGTTTTTATTTGCCAGCCCAGGCAGAGTCCTGTGTTGGGCTTGAGAACACACAACGAACTGCCAACCCCGTGGCCATTAACTATGCAAGCAGCCCCTCTGAAAGCAATGCATCCCTGGGCCACAGCATTTGCCTCCCTCTCAGACGTTTGTCTTCGGAGACCATACATTGCTTCACCCTTACCGATTCCATCATGTCCAGTGCTTCCGTAAGGACTGGAACCGAAGTCAGACTCAAGTAGTTGGCAGTGTCAGCTGCCCATTTGTACAGCAAGGTGCCATCCACTGACATGTCTTCAGGCACCGCACCCTTTGGCGCCCCCTCGGCACTGTCCTTTGCCAGTGTTGCAGCTGTCTGCTCACAGGGCAGCTCCTGGAAGCCAGCTGTTTCATCCTCACTGACTTCTTCCTCCTTTATTTCCAAGATATTAGCAGGCCAGCCAGCGGGTAGGTTTTTCTTTGAAAACACAAGCACGAGAGCCATATATTAAAAGAACCCTAAGGTTGCAATGTCAAGCTCTCAAGACTACGGAGTGCCAAGACTGAGGTCCACCGTGCCACCATAGGTCAGCTCCATTGTGATGGAGCCTTGTCAGCAACTATGGCAAAGCCAGAAATATAACCCTGTTCCCTGGGCCACAGTCCAGTGTCTTAACTACAGCAGAACATCCTTGCTTTTCATATAGCCGTCTACACCAAATGGAAGAGTCTTGTAAAACAATTCACATGTGATTCAAGACTGGGCCATAGCATACACACACAAAGCAGCTGAATTCAGGTTACCCAGACACCCTTACATCAGGCATTTTCTAATTTTTTTAAGAGCACTACTTAATGTCCTTTTAATGCAGATTTTGGTATGTAATTTCCTAGGTATGTATGTATGTATAAATAAAAGGCCACCCCAACATTCTCAATAGGATTTGCACACAGAGTCTTTAGATACACATCACAAACCTCTCCCACTTGAGCTCAAAGAAGCAGCCTGTTATCCTCTATATGGACCAATGCTAAAGAATGAAACACACTATGTCAGTGGCTTATGCAACTATTTTTAGGCAGAAGAGTTTTGGAAATCAGGATTGCTGACTCAGAGTGGGTGCAGACAGCTAGGCTACGTCTACACTGGCCCCTTTTCCGAAAGGGGCATGCTAATTTTAAACTTCAGAATAGGGAAATCCGCGGGGGATTTAAATATCCCCCGCGGGATTTAAATAAAGATGTCCGCCGCTTTTTTCCGGCTTGTGGAAAAGCCGGAAAAAAGCGTTTAGACTGGCCCGATCCTCCGGAATAAAGCCCTTTTCCGGAGGCTCTCTTATTCCTACTTCGAAGTAGGAATAAGAGAGCCTCCGGAAAAGGGCTTTATTCCGGAGGATCGGGCCAGTCTAAACGCTTTTTTCCGGCTTTTCCCCAAGCCGGAAAAAAGCGGCGGACGTCTTTATTTAAATCCCCCGCGGATTTCCCTATTCCGAAATTTAAAATTAGCATGCCCCTTTCGGAAAAGGGGCCAGTGTAGACGTATCCCTAGTGGGTACAAACAACGAAACCAGACATAGTGTTGTCTGCGCCCACTAGTTGTCTGCACCCACTCTGAGCCAGGAATCCTGATTCCCAAAACTGTTCATTCCGAAGGGCAGTATGGCTGCGGATGAATGTCTCTGATCTGCATTAATAGAACAACAATGCACACCTCACTGCCAACCAAAATGCAATGTCTTCCACTGCAAGGCATTATCGGGCAGCTGATATGCTTGGTGTTGTACCTGGTTCTGGACACTCTGGTTTTCTTCACCCTCCACCTCCACCAACAAGTATAGGGGCTCAGAGTCTTTTGTTTCACTGAGGAAACCTCCTGTGTCCACTTTCCGCTTGATGGTAGAGTTCCAGTGGTTCTTCACAGCATTGTCAGTCCTGGAAAGCAAAGTCACAATTAAGAGCAATCAAAAACCACCAGCTCTAAAATGCAATTGAGAATCTATACTTGTTTCCTGGTCATATTCTTGGCATCCCTCAGTACACGTAACTCAACAGACTGCCTGACTCTTAAGGCATTAGCATCAGGCAAGGGCCTTACCTCCCAGGCAGCAGCTTGGCAATCTCAGCCCAGCGGTTCCCCAGAACTTTGTGAGCTTCAAAAATGATTCGGTCCTCCTCCTCCGTCCATGAGGACTTCTTCACCTCGGGGTTCAGGTGGTTGTGCCAGCGTTCCCGGCACTGCTTCCCAAGCCTGCCTTTCAGGTACTTTGCTATCAACGTCCATTGCTTTGTGCCAAATTTTTTAACCAATTCAATTACCTGTAAACAAAAGTAAAATGAAGTGAATGAAGGGATAGCAGGTGCACTTGCTTTCAAGTCTGCTTTTCCCACTTGCCCTCTCTGTACCGGGACCCTTGTATATCACAGGGAGAAGGGCTCTATTTATAGGAGAGCTCTCCCTGGTCCAAGGAGACTATATTCACAGCACGTGAATCATGTGAGCATATTTAATACTCTGCACCCAGCTATACCGCCAGCATGACCAGGCTGAGCACTGACCATGATTAAATGATGTTAACTTAAAAATACCCAACGTAGACACTCATGCTAGCTCCAAGGGACCATGCAATATTGCTTTTCTCATCAGCATTTCACCCTGACCTGTTATATCTGTGTGCTGTTTCCAGACTCACTTTGGCTGTGTCCAGACTCCATGCCTCCTTCGACGGAGGCATGTAGATTAGCCACATCAGAAGAGGGAAATGAAGCCGCGATTAAAATAAT